CTCCTACGAGCTGACCCGAGGAATCACTACTGTGCATGGACCAGTCGCGCGATCGCGATCGATAACACAAAGGTGATGGCGCGACCGCAGAAGAAGGGGAGCGATTCATAACCAAAATTCTACACTCGGTCAGTTCGTTCAACCGATACGTTGAGATAGACAGACATCATTTCACACTCATAAAACCTGTGACGATTGGTGGACTTATGCACGCACAGACAACACACAGGGGCAGGGAGAGATGATGATGATCCCATTATCTCATTCATTTCGTTTGCGTCTGACGACGAGTCCTAGTTTGGATCGGCACGTTGCAATAAACATTTTACAACTCAGTGCACGCCTCCACACCTATATATATGGTTTACCCTACTTGGGTCTTCACTACTCTCAGGAGATGATTGGTGCAAAAATTCTTCTCTGCACCAAGTCGTTGTCTTGACAATTTTCTCCACTGTATAACTTGTCGTGTTACATCATGTCTCACACGCGTGTGAGCCTAGACTGTGAACCAAACCAATCACGGTACAACACTCTTCATGACAAAGAAAAAGGGCCACGATTTACTGAAAGGCAGAATATTGCCAGATGACCCCAACCAAATCAAGTGAACTGCGGATAATTCACCTTTTGGAAGCAAAAATTTTACATTCACTTGAATTCACTTGATGGGAATAGCTCCTATCCCGACCGTAAACGAAAATTCATAGCTGGGTCAATTTAGGCGATGGTGGTCAAAGTGGCAAAGTTCACCAAATTATCGCCCCGGAGGACGTGGGTTCGAATTCTACCACCACCACCAATTGACTTCTTCATTAATTGTGATGTATGACAGCCATTCGATTGGCAGTTCCCCTCTTACAGAAAACTGTATCATAATGTATTCAATAAAATGAAGTAAAACAGATGAAACATAAATTTAGATTGATGACGAAAGCGATCGTCATTATAAGCACGTGAAATGTGAAATCAATTGACGCACCTGCTGAGTCACCACCTAACACCTGTGGCTCGTCCTCCATAGATCTGACAGACTGCGCTTCACCCAGTTCCAGTGGACCAGAAATGAGTCCCTTCAGATCTGGCATATCCGATTTGGTCGATTTCTTCGCTTTCCGTTTGGACTTGGAATCTATCTGACCGCCAGCCGGAGCCGATCGCAACAGAGTTCCATTTGCCTTGAATCCCACGTCTCCGTTGATCGCCTTATCCAGACAAGTTCCATTCGCCTTTCCAACCACCGTCACACAATGGCCATTTACCCAACCACCATTCTTAAGTGAGTTCGGTCCGTTCGTCGCATAAGCTAGGATCGGATAGGAACCAGACGTAGCAGGCAAGTAGCTTGGCCCTTTGATTGACCTGGGTCGAATTTTGCATCTGTGAGGGAACAAAACATCCCAGAACGTGCAAATGAACATGACCAAAAGAGAGAGAGAGATAAAGCGAGAGCCAACAGGGGGGGGGGAGGCAGGGAGTAAAATGCACACCGGTTAAAGGCAGCTTTATCTTCATTGGCTTAACGTAAAAAATGTGCAACGCTCACCTGTTACACCAACCAACCATATCCGCGGGTCTTAACACGAGAAGGAAGATGGTTTGGACTAAGCATGTATCTAATGTAGCGACGGATAGTAGCTTTTGTTCGATTTCTCTGCATCTGTTCATAATTGACTTGGTCAGATACCTGGTTATTAATCACCACCCCACCCTCACCCACTTGTTGTAGCCTATAAACTAAATCTACATTTACAACCAAAGTGATGCGATCGTCACAACCTCTCTGAGAGATCAATAATTTCATAATGAAGCCAGTCTAGGGTGAACATATATGTTCCATAACATTAGGGGAGACAAAAAATATACATGCTTGAAGGCAAACCTGCAAATACCACGTGATCACATCATCTTGGAAAGTATGTGTGGGTATACATGTATGTATGCTTCAATGATCGATTTCGAGTAATACTTGTGTTTTTCCAAGTCACGGAAGCTCAAAACAAGGTTTCATCACAGTGGGTACGAAAAAAAAGCTGTTGGTTCGAGGAGTACTATCAGCTTCGGGTGCACGGATCGGTAAGGATCTCCGACACGTACACTTCGTCCATCACCAGTTGGGCGTGCGTGTGTGGGTGGGTGTAAAATGGGTCTCGGAAACCGATGGAAATGGGCACTGAATGGGATATCAGGAGCAGCCCAAATGTGTGTGTGTGAGAGAGAGAGTGAGCATTAGACGAACGTTGGATAGTGACAATTCCAACTGCACTGCCTGTGTGCGTGTGTGCCAAAATTACAATGCACAGCTGCGTCACTATCTCACCATGTGTGTTGAGAACGTTCTGCCAAAAGATGCCACAGGTATAAGATAATCTTAAAACATGGAATCGGGCAGTTGGATCATTTTTCATCGGAGGGGCAACCTACCGAGGCATGCAAATGTTTGACCTAACGCTCATGCATACACACACCACAAACACCGTACTAGCTCAAAGACGAAGCAACAAGGAATAGGCGATGTGCAAAAGTACATCAATAGGAATCACCAGTGCGGGAGAGAGACAAGATGGGGAGATTTCTGTTCAAACGAGTAAATATGATATGCCACAGCCACGTCCAGATAGATAGGTATATCTGTTACGTAATCCTGAAAAATGTGGTAGTGATAGCTCACTGCTCACCAGATGAAGAAAAAAAACAGATGGATGAACAGAAGGGCAAGGGAACTAGGACAGGAATGAACCAACACCAAAGTGGCACACAAAGACGGCACATAGGTAGCTTTAACAAAAATACCGAAAAAAAGTCAGAATTAAGGAATCGGTAGGATGGAGAAGCTTCCGTTGGGGTTGAACATGGACCAAAGTAAATAAGCAAAGCATGCTGTCCGAACTGAATGGTCCGCAAACTACGGACGATATTGTTGTGGATTCTGGCACAGGTAACGGTTTAGGAATCACACGAGCAGTTTGACGGGAATGGTCAATATACGTAAGTACGTAATACGAAGGGGGGGATGAATGAGCGTGCGTGTGTAAAACAAAGAGAGAGAGAGAGGGATGGGTACATTGGCTACATGGGCTAGGGCAGGCTTGGCAGTACACACGGGGGCGGAGAATGCTAATGATTCGGGTGAGAGCGCGGGGGATGTAACAAACCACAAGGGCGGGACGGTTCGGTCGGATTGGCACACTGGACTTGGACTTGTGTCCAGTCTCGATTCAGTCGACCCGGACGGGTCACGAATTCGGTGAATGAAGGGGGCAAACTGTTCGTGTGTGTGTGTGTGTGTACGCATGAGGAGGTGGAGCAGAAGGAGGAGGACAGAGAGAGTAGAATGCAGATAGCTGGACAACATTTCACGATCGGCATGCAAAGAGTGTGAAAACAACTATTGAACCTATTCAAAAGACTCAAGCATACACGCATACATGTGGAATGCAAGCCTTGCTAGAGGATCGAAAATAAACGGCAAGATAAACAATGTGCGTGCAATCTGGAATAAGTCCCGGTTGTCGATCAACCAACCGCGGTCTACCATTGCACCGGATGCGGATCTGTCCACAATTTGNATGGATACGATCGGAAAATGATCGCAAACATTTGCAAATAAAATACGAATCGGTGTTCAGTTCAGCTCGGATAGTCGGTAGTATACTTGCATAACAGTACTCTGTAGACGAAACTGAACAGCTGAGAATTTCAGAAGAATGAGATCGGAGAGAATAGGATAAAGTAGAGTAGAAATGCACGAACACCTTTGCGTGTGACACTGCTGGATGTCCCCGTCCATGGATTGTTGGGTCCATTGAATCTCGATCAGAAAGTTCAACACTACTTTCTTAGATGAAGTATGCTAGTTTTAAAGATTTATTCTATAGATCAAGGGTTAAGTGACTTCGTTGATTTTCGATAAACGGCTGCCAGCTGTCCAACTGAGAAGTCTGTCTGGGGACTTGGGAAATACGTGTCTCTATAAGTTCTCTCGGTAAATCGCAAACATCTAAGCACTCCAGTTTCTATTAAGCCCATAAGCCTGACCCAAGGTGCTACAAAAACAACCTTGTTCAAGTACCACCGTTTTCGATGCCTAATGACAAAACTTCAAACTATAAATATTTGGAAAACTTATTATCTGGTAACATAGATTCCGCAACGGAGACGAGAGACCAGTTTTTCAAGAACTGAATCAATTCAACACTTCTCCGACCTTTGAAACGTGTAAAAAGCTTCCCTGCACAGTAACTGATACACCATTCCTTCACTAATGCTTATCTCGAATGTCGTCACCTG